GAGATCAAGTGATCCTCCCACTTAGGCCTCACAAGTAGTTGAGACCACAGGCATGCACCACCACGCCCAGCTAAGTTTTTAATTATATATGGAGACAAAGTCTCCCTGTGTTGCCCAGGCTAGTCTTGAACTCCTGCCCTCAAACAATCATTCCACTTTGGCCTCTCTCAAAGATTGCAGGTATGAGCTACTATGTCAACCTTTCTTCAATTTAAAGATGGATTTTTCTTTGTTTTAACACAGAGCCTCGCTCTGTCACCCAGGCTGAAGTGCAGTGGCACAATCTCGGCTCATTGCAACCTCCACCTCCCGGTTCAAGTGATTCTCGTGCCTCAGCCTCCCAATTACAGATGTGAGCCACTCTGACCAGCAGGATTTTTCTATTTCTGCAAAAAACACTTGGAATTTTGACAGGAACTGCAGCAAATCTGTTTATAATTTTGGGTAGTACTGACCTATTAAAAAATATTAAGTCTTCCAATGAGAACTTTAAAAAAAAAAAAACACTAAATTTTATCCAGCTTTCTTCTAAAACAGGAAAAGCAATCAATTCAAGTGAAAACTCCAAATGAATTTACATGCTATTAGCACCCAAAAATAAAACTTCCACTTATTATTTATTTTTGAAATGGAGTCTCACTGTAGCCCAGGCTGGAGTACAGTGGTATATTCTCGGCTCACTGCAACCTTCGCTTCCCAGGTTCAAGCAATTCTCCTACCTCAGCCTCCCAAGTAGCTGGTATTACAGGTGTGCACCACCCATGCCCAGTTAATTTTTGTATTTTTAGTAAAGACAGGGTTTCACCATGCTGGCCAGGCTAGTCTCGAACTCCTGACCTCAAACGATCTTTCTGCTTTGGCCTCCCAAAGTGCTGGGAGTACAGGTGTGAGGCATGGTGCCCAGCCAAGACTTCCATTTAAGATGCAGTATTAAAACTACTTTTTGAAATGGACGATACTAACCTTTTAGCAGTTATAAAACCCATCATTTTAAGTAGAGTCCTTAACAAGAGGCCTAAATATTATCACCCAGGAATGCCCAAACCACTGATTCGTCCTTACCGGCCAAGGCTAACTGAAGCCCACTAATGTCCACAGACTGGCCCATGTTTCCAACATCCATCAGCGCAATCTGGCGAGGTGTCTTTTTGAAGAGTTCCCGTGGGGGTGCCAGCATCAGCTGGGAAAGAAAAAACTTTTCTGGTGGAGTTATAGGAGGTAAAAATCCTGCAAACAAAAAATGTATAACAATTTCTCCAATGGTTACTTTTCAAAATCACCTTGAATCTGGTAAAATCAGTTCTTACTACTTGCCACTTTAAGCCACATATTTTTAAGAGCTAAATTACAATTAGGTTTCAGTTAACCAAATACATACATTTATGAACTATGTAAATAAATGTCATTTGAAATTCTATGATCTGTGTCCCTACTAATGAAACTTAAAGGGTTTTTTGTTTTGGTTTTGTGTGTTTTTGTTGTTGTTTTTTTGAGACAGAGTCTCCTTCTGTCACCCAGGCTAGAGTGCAGTGGCACAATCCTGGCTCACCCAGGTTCAAGCTATTCTCCTGCTTGAGCCTCCCAAGTAGCTGGAACTACAGGTGCACACCACCACGCCTGGCTCATTTTTTGTGTTTTTAGTAGAGACGGGTTTCACCATGCTAGCCTGGATGGTCTCGATCTCCTGACCTCATGATCTACCTGCCTCAGCCTCCCAAAGTGCTGGGATTACAGGCATGAGCTGCTGCACCCGGCCGAAACTTAAGGTTTTTGTAACTGTTAATTGTAAGAGTTAAAGAAAGAGAAAAGAACATAAAATGCAGCTTGGCAGACAAAGATAGGTTTTCTTTAGTTAAAACCTGAGAGGGGCTCTTGGCTGATGTTTTAAAGAAAACCTGTCTCTGTTTCGTACTTCTTTCCTCTTTAATTCTTACAATAATAACTTCATCTTCATTTTCTTCATTTTCTATAACTTCATTTCCTGTAAAGGCTAAAGCTTATATACACAAGCAAAAATAGATAACACTACAGTGCTTGGAAATGCTTTCCTTTCTTCTCTGTTTCCACTGTGTAGAAGTTGAATAAATAGAAGAGCAACCAGCAGCAATGCAAATACACTTCATATACCTGATTCAACACATAGTGCACTACACATTCCAGCAAAGCTGAATGTTGCTTCACTTTAGTCCCATATTCAATGGCTCATCAAGCCTCATCTCTCCCACTGCAGCAGTATCACCAGGCTGCATTCCCTTAGCTCCAGTTCCCATGCCTCTCTTACCTGGACTACTTTTGCCCCCTCTACTGACTTCCCCAGCTCCCAGTTGTGACCCCTGCCCACACACCACCCATAGTTCACACTACCTCTCACCATTTAGTTATATCTCTAGAGTACAAATCTGATCACATTACTTAACCTGTTCACACAGAATTAAAGCCAAATTTCTATATCATTACAAGAACCTTCATAATCTGGTCCCAACGTACATTCTTAATCTCACTTCTTGACCTTCTCTCCCATCCACGTACCCTACACCCCAGTTACACAAAATCCCTCAACTTCTATATTCAGTTTTTTATTGTTTTTGTTTTTGAGGCAGAGTCTCACTCTGTTCCCCAGGCTGAAGTGCTATGGTGAGATCTCCGCTCACTGAGCTTCCACCTTCCAAGTTCAAGCAATTCTCCTGCCTCAGACTTCTGAGTAGCTGGGATTACAGGAGTGCACCATTACACCGGGCTAATTTTTGTATTTCTGGTAGAGATGGAGTTTCAAAATGTTGGCCAGGCTGCTCTCAAACTCCTGGCCTCAAGTGATCCGCCCACCTCAGCCTCCTGAAGTGCAAGTGCTGGGACTGAGGTGTGAGCCACTGCACAAGGCCTTACACCCAATTATTTAGTAATATGTGGTGGAGCCACTCCTGCCCTTCCACCCACATCCCTAATCAATATCCAGCAAAAATATCACTCCTTTTGAGAATTTATCTGGCTCCACAGGTGGTCGTTCCTTCCTCTGTACTACCCAGCATTACACAATCGCAGCCCTGCCTCTGTTCAGAATCATCGGAAAAGCATTCTGAAGACATACCCACTAAATGTCTTACCCTAAACATACATCAGCAGCAGCTCTGGGAGTGGGATGTTGACACTGGTATTTTCTCTTCTGTGTTATTGACACGCCATCCCTATCTACTTTAATAATGGCAATGATAATAGTGGGTAATACTCACAGGTAATTGTATTCTTTGTAATAACTCTACCAGCTGAGAACTGTTACTATTTGCATTTTACAGATTAGGAATCTGAGGCACAAAAGAGTTAAATATAGTCTACCCATGGATTCCTTCTCTGGCAACTGCCATCCCACCCATGGCAAATCTGTTTCTACAATGGTCTATGGACTAGGTGTGGGTTTAGATTCACTGTATATGAGAATGACATTATGTAAGTCACAGTTTGTTTGCCTCACCTGTTCTTCAGAATTCAAAGGACCCTCTGACCTAAATCTCACAGTGTCCCAATCCTCTAATACAAGCACCCCAGGGTGGTGGTTGTCTCCTGTGTGTGTGTGTTTAGAGGCAGGGTTTCATTGTTACCCAGTGGTGTGATCCTAACTCACTGCAGTCTTAAACTACTAGGCTCAAGTGATCATCCTGCTTCAACCTCCTGAGCAGCTGAGACTACAGGTGTGAGCTACCCCATGCCCAGCAAATTTTTTTTAAATTTTTTGTAAAGACACGAACTTGCTATGTTGCCCAAGATGGTTTCAAACTCCTGGCCTCAAGCAATTCCCACCCTCATCCCTCACCACCTGGGGCGTGAGCCACCTCGCCAGGCCTGGGTGGTGAGTTTTGACCACAAACTTATGTCACATTCATTTTCCGGGCAGTCACAAGCTTCTTAAAAGCACGTTAAGTACCTGTACCCTAAGGGCATCTCAGGCCAATACAAAGCGTTACCCTTCTTAGATATGGGCACTACTGGACACCAATCAGAAGATTGTGATGTGTTGCCCGGCAGGAACACTAACTAGAAATGCAGAAGCCTTCTGTACCATAAAAACAAAGTCCTTGTATTACCTCAAAATCTGCTGCCTTAACCTTGACTCGCTGAATAGCAAGCCCTACCTAATACTGGTTACGAAATGTAAGATCAAGCTGTTTCCTAATCTCTATCTGCTTCCTCCACTACACTGGTCCTTAAATCCTTCAGGTCCCCTTGTCACCAAGCCATTTTTCTTGTTTTCTGACTGCAAGTCTTCTCCCAAAGCAAATCCACATAAAGGATCCCCTGCTTGAGCTTAAAAACAACAACAAAATGCAGCCTTGTAGCTAACCTACTAGTTTGGTCTAACCAACGCCACACAATGGTAAATACATTCTATGTAATGTATACCATGTATGCACTTTACATAATGTCCAGTAAATCATGTGTTTTTTAACCGCAAGACCATCAATTTTAGGCTTTCGATCCTCTGCCCCCATCACTAACAAGCTAAGGACGACGGTTGCTAAGTCTTTCATGGGGTTTCATGTACATTTCCGCCCAACAACTTCAACTTCTTAACACTGACTTCTACATTCTCCTTTGAGACTGAAAACCGGGGACAGATCCAGTCTTACCATTGGTTTTAACTTCACACACCACAAATGGGCTTTCAAGAACGAACCGTATTTGGGACGCTAAACATGTCATGACCTACACTGAGCTGTATGATGTGATGACGAGTACAAAGAAATCATTTTCGGTGTCACGAACTTGCAATTAAGCTACCACCTCTCCATTCTTTAGAGTTGAGGCCGGAGGGAATGAGGAGGGTGGAGTGGCAAAGGGAGACGGAAAAAGGGGATGCACATTTCACAGGGAGAGTTATTTCCCTTGCAGGTGAGTTCCCAGCAACGCAGGTGGAACGCTGCAGAATCTAACGCTATCCACACGGCACAGCTGGCTTCAGGAGATACCTGAGAGCGGAGGGCGATCCGGCTCCTGGCCGCCGCGGGCTGGCGGCGCGGGGTTGAGAAGGTGCGCGAAGCTGGCGGCGAAGGGGTTGGCGGCCAGCGGCTCGGTGCGGTACATCTCCCAGAGCAGGTAGAGCGCCGTAAGGCGCTGCGCCGCGCTGGGCAGCAGGTCCGGCTGCTGGAGCAGCATGACGAGCACCGAGCCCAAACGGAAGTGGTCGGCCTTGCTGAAGTAGTGGTGGAAGGCGGTGGACAGGCCCTCGAAGGTGCTGCCGCCGCCCGCCTCCTCCGAGATGATGCTTAGCAGACTCGAGAGCTCCTTCGGGGTCAAGCTCATCCTGCCCGCGGGGCCCCCAGGGCTTCCCCTCCCGGACCCGGGGCCGCTTGCTCCACCTCTGTCGCCACTGGAGCCCCCGAAGCTGCTCCTGGACGCCGACCCTGACGCTTCCTGGGACCCTCTCTGCTCCGCGGCGGTGAGAAGCCGGCCAGACGCCGTGCTCGCCCCTCCGCCGGGCATCAACCTTGCTCTCCTTCCCCGCTTCCCGGCCCGAAGGGCCCTGGCGCCGGCTGGCTCCGTCCCCGCGGCCGTAAAGCGCGCTGTTACACGACAGCGTCGCAAACAAAACACGTCGGGGAAACCAGACCGCCGGGGAGAGGGCCAGCGCCCTGCTAAAGCGAGGCTGACGGGGCGAAGCCAGCGACAGCTTGTGGAGACGCGGGGTAGGCGGGGCGAATTGGCCGGAAGCGGGGGCGGGGGCGGGGCCTGAGACTGGAGTGGAGGGGCGGGGCGAGGTCGGGCGGGCAGTGTTCAGGACTGGCCTGGCTGAGGTTCCGCGGAGGGACTGCCCGAGGCCCGCGCGCTTCTGCGCAGCTGCAAGGGGATGCCGCCCCATGGCGGTCCCCAGGGCAGGACCTGGTGCCAGGCGGTCCCAGTAAATGCTGTCTACGTTATTATTTGGAAAAATGCACCTAAGATGCTAATATTTTCTTAATATAATCTCTGTTAACTATTCGTCGTAAAAATATTGTAAATCCAGGTCCGGCGCTGTGGCGCGTACCTGTAATCCTAGCACTCTTCAGAGTCCGAGGCGGGAGGGTTGGTTGAGTCCCGGAGAGTCCCAGGTTGCAGTGAGCTGTGATCATCACTGCACTCTAGCTCGGGCGAAAGGCGAGACTGTCTCAGAAACAATTTTTTTTTTAAATGTAGTAATTGTCACACATTTCTCCTAACTACGGTTAATTTCTAGTCTTTCGCTCTTTTTTTGCAGAAATGGAATCATACTGCACTATGAGCTTTTTTGTACTTGTTTTTTTTCTCTTAACACGATTTCGAGAACATATCTCCAATTAATATTCATTTACAAAATCGTTTTCTGTACCACGTCTTACTTAGACTGCACTAGGGCCCTTATCCTGGGCACTAGCTGTGCATTAGAAACCCACGGGGAGAGGTTACAAATTCCTGGTCCCACCCCCAGAGATGATAATTCAGATATTAATAAACCCCACCTCTTCAGGTGAGTCTGATGTGCAGTCTGGACTGAGAACCATCGGGTAGCATTTCCCAGACATGCCCGGTCCGTAAACCAACAGAAATGTACATGTATTTCGCCAGTGATTACCACCATCGATTCCAGTCCGCGCTGAACCATGTCAGCGCTCAAGAATTATCTAGTTAAGTGCCACCTCAATTCTTTTTTTAAAGGTATTTTTATTTTATTTATTTTTGGGGAGAAATATATATTTAAAAATTTTTTTCCATCGTTTTAAAAATTATATTTTATAGTTTGGGGGGTAAAGGTGTTTTTTTGTTTACATGGGTTGGTTTTTTTTGTTTTGTTTTGTTTTTAAATTAAGAAGATAAACGATAGGCCGGCCGCGGTGGCTCACACCTGTAATCCCAGCACTTTGGGAGGCCGAGGTGGGTGAATCCCCTGAGCTCAGGAGTTCAAGACCAGCCTGACCAATATAGAGAAACCCCATCTCTGATCCTGAAAGACTAGCTAAAAGAAAGAAAAGGAAAGAAAGAAAGAAGAAAAACAGAAACCTCATCTCTACCAAAAGTACAAAATTAGATCTGGCCTTGGCCGCGGCCCCGGGAGGCGGTCAGTGAGTTGGGGCCGCGCGTTGTCGCACGGAGCGAAGCTCGTCCGCATCACGTGCAGCAGCAGCGGCGCACTCGGACCCGGGCTGGCGCGGCCCAGCCCGGCGCGAGCCCCCTGGAGGTGCTGCAGGACCCTGGCTACCCCCGCACCCACGAGGCCCTGCTGGAAGTGGCGCAGATGGTCACCCTGCTGATTGCCTTCATTTGCGTGCGGAGCTCCCTGTGGACTGACTACAGTGCCTACAGCTACTTTGAAGTGGTCACCATTTGCGACTTGATAATGATCCTAGCCTTTTACCTGGCCCACCTCTTCTGCTTCTACCGCGTGCTCACCTGTATCAGCTGGCCCCTGTCGGAACTTCTGCATTATTTAATCGGTACCCAGCTCCTCCTCGTCGCCTCCATTATGGCAGCTTCCAAGAGTTACAACCAGAGTGGACTGGTAGCCAGAGCGATCTTTGGTTTCGCGGCCACCTTCCTCTGCATGGCAAGCATGTGGCTGTTCGACAAGGTCTCCTGTGTAACCCAGTCCACAGATGCAGCCTCTAACAAGGCCACAGCCCTTCGGCCCCTCAGGAGCTTTGCAGAGAGCAAGACGTGTGCCCCAGGCAAGGCCTCTGGACCTGTGTTCCTGTGCCAAAGTCCTGCCAGGCTGGTGGGCACTAGGAAAGGTCTGCACCCTCTTCCTGCTTTCCCAGGAAGCCAGCTTCCTGAGCTCCTAAGCTGGCTGGAAACTCTTTCTCCTGCCTTCCGGGGGAACATTCCTCCCTTCTGGGAAAGGAAAGCAGCCTCCAGGGAATTCTGCTTTTGGCCTTTCTGCTTCCAGAACTACCTCAGGTACTGACGCACCCCACTTAGCACAGCTGGAGGGGTTTGTGAATACTCCTGCCTAAATCCCTTCTACTTCTCACTTCTCAGGGCTTGTCAGTGGGTCTTAGAGATACCCACTTTCCTGAAGCGAGGTGTGCCTGTAGAAACACTATGTGGTCAGCCTGGGCCCAAGGAGACCTCGCATCTCCTCTCCGTCTCTGTCTCTGTTACCATTGTGCAAGTATTTGTGTGTTTTCTAAAATAAAATATTGACTTGGCCAAAAAAAAAAAAGAAAAAAAAATACAAAATTAGCCAGGCGTGGTGGCGCATGCCTGTAATATCAGCTACTCTGGAGGGTGAGGCAGGAGAATCACTTGAACACGGGAGGCAGAGGTTGTGGTGAGCTGAGATGGCACCACTGCACTCCAGCCTGGGCAACAGAGCAAGACTCCTCAAAAAAAAAAAAAGTTCTATTGGCTTGAATTATCTTCTTACTTGAATATTTCCTCCCAGATTTTTCCCCTATGTCATCTTTTTTTTCCCCCACTCTGTCACCCAGGCTGGAATGCAGTGGAGTGCATAATCATGGCTACTGCAGCCTCAAACTCCTGGGTTCAGACGATCCTCCTGCCTCAGCCTCTCAACTATTTGGGACTACAGGTATGTGCCACCATGCCCAACTAATTTTTATTTTTAAAAATTATTTTTTTGAGACATCCTTTTATATAAAAATTACATAAATTGTGGCTATTCTTTGACATAACCCCAAAACCCAACAAATAGTAGTTTCCTTTTTTTGAGATGGAGTCAAGCTCTATAGCCCAGGCTGAAGTGCAGTGGTGCCATCTCAGCTCACCGCAACCTTCACCTCCCAGATTCAAGCAATCCTCCTGCCTCAGCCTCTGGGGGAGCTGGAACTACAGGCGTGCACTACCACACCCAGCTAATTTTTGTATTTTTAGTAGAGATGAGGTTTCATCATGTTGGGCCAGGCTAGTCTCAAGTTCCTGATCTCAAGTGATCTACCTGCCTTGGCCTCCCAAGGTTCTGGGATTATAGGCATGAGCCAAACCACACCCAGACCCAACTAATTTTTGAATTGATTTTTAGAGACAGGGTCTGTCAGGTTTTGTGATGTTGTCTAGGCTGTTCTCATATTCCTGGCCTCAAGCAATCCTTGTGCCATGGCTTCCCCGCAGGTGTGTGTCACCACACCCAACCTGCCCTACATAGCCTTCATTTAGATTTTCTCACTCCACTCAGCTCTATTTATCACACCTAATTAAACCCTCAGAGATCCATCTGCTCGCCCATGAAAAGTTCTGGTCCGGAAGGTTCTGTCGGTTCCCCCAGTTCTGGGTACCCGGCTCTGCATCGCGCCGCCATGATGGGCCATCGTCCCGTGCTCGTGCTCAGCCAGAACACAAAGCGTGAATCCGGAAGAAAAGTTCAATCTGGAAGCATCAATGCTGCCAAGACTATTGCAGATATCATCCGAACATGTTTGGGACCCAAGTCCATGATGAAGATGCTATTGGACCCAATGGGAGGCATCGTGATGACCAATGATGGCAACGCCATTCTTCGAGAGATTCAGGTCCAGCATCCAGCAGCCAAGTCCATGATTGAAATTAGCCGGACCCAGGATGAAGAGGTTGGAGATGGGACCACATCAGTAATTATTCTTGCGGGGGAAATGCTGTCTATAGCTGAGCACTTCCTGGAGCAGCAGATGCACCCAACAGTGGTGATCAGTGCTTACCGCAAGGCATTGGATGATATGATCAGCACCCTAAGGAAAATCAGTATCCCAGTTGACATCAATAACAGTGATATGATGCTGAACATCATCAATAGCTCCATAACTACCAAAGCCATCAGTCGGTGGTCATCTTTGGCTTGCAACATTGCCCTGGATGCTGTCAAGACAGTACAGTTTGAGGAGAATGGTCGGAAAGAGATTGACATAAAAAAATACGCAAAGGTGGAAAAGATACCTGGGGGCATCATTGAAGACTCCTGTGTCTTGCGTGTAGTCATGATTAACAAGGATGTGACCCATCCACGCATGCGACGCTATATCAAGAACCCTCGCATTGTGCTGCTGGATTCTTCTCTGGAATACAAGAAAGGAGAAAGCCAGACTGACATTGAGATTACACGAGAGGAGGACTTCACACGAATTCTCCAAATGGAAGAAGAGTATATCCAGCAGCTCTGTGAAGACATTATCCAGCTGAAGCCTGATGTGGTCATCACCGAAAAGGGCATCTCAGATTTAGCTCAGCACTACCTCATGCGGGCCAATATCACAGCCATCCGCAGAGTCCGGAAGACAGACAATAATCGCATTGCTAGAGCCTGTGGGGCCCGGATAGTCAGCCGACCAGAGGAACTGAGAGAAGATGATGTTGGAACGGGAGCAGGCCTGTTGGAAATCAAGAAAATTGGCGATGAATACTTTACATTCATCACTGAGTGCAAAGACCCCAAGGCCTGCACCATTCTTCTCCGGGGGGCTAGCAAAGAGATTCTTGCGGAAGTAGAACGCAATCTCCAGGATGCCATGCAAGTGTGCCGAAATGTTCTCCTGGACCCTCAGCTGGTGCCAGGGGGTGGGGCCTCTGAGATGGCTGTGGCCCATGCCTTGACAGAAAAATCCAAGGCCATGACTGGTGTGGAACAATGGCCATACAGGGCTGTTGCACAGGCCCTAGAGGTCATCCCTCGTACCCTGATCCAGAACTGTGGGGCCAGCACCATCCGTCTACTTACCTCCCTTAGGGCCAAGCACACCCAGGAGAACTGTGAGACCTGGGGTGTAAATGGTGAGACGGGTACTTTGGTGGACATGAAGGAACTGGGCATATGGGAGCCATTGGCTGTGAAGCTGCAGACTTATAAGACAGCAGTGGAGACGGCAGTTCTGCTACTGCGAATTGATGACATCGTCTCAGGCCACAAAAAGAAAGGCGATGACCAGAGCCGGCAAGGCGGGGCTCCTGATGCTGGCCAGGAGTGAGCGCTGGGCAAGCTACTTCAATGCACAGAACCAGCAGTCTCCCCTTTTCCTGAGCCAGAGTGCCAGGAACACTGTGGACGTCTTTGTTCAGAAGGGATCAGGTTGGGGGCAGCCCCCAGTCCCTTTCTGTCCCAGCTCAGTTTCCAAAAGACACTGACATGTAATTCTTCTCTATTGTAAGGTTTCCATTTAGTTTGCTTCCGATGATTAAATCTAAGTCATTTGAAAAAAAAAAAAAAAAAAAAAAAGTTCTGGTCATTCCAATCTTGAGGTGTCCCCCATACTTGCCAGAAGAGACCATTGTCTACTTTCCCTCCCTCTTTTCTCAACACTCAACAGCACACAGTGTCCTATAAACACAGCATTGTGTATGAAAAAATGTAATTGATACAGAATTCCTGTTAATCACAAGAAATATATGCACCTGATTTGGCAGGAAACACACCAGAAGGGTGAAAATTTCTTGAATGTTTATCAAAATCACCTGGAAGCTTATTAAAACATAGATTCTTGGCTTTCATCTGCAAAGTAAACAAATAAACAATATGTTTTTATTGCCTTTTCTTGGTTTATAACTTTTAGGCATTATCTATTATTTTTGGTAGTTGGGATTTTAGTACTTTTATGTGCTCCCTTTCTCTTAACTTCACTCCCGATTTTCCCAGTGAGGTTCTGTCATAACATTTAGTTAAATGGATCACCAAAATGTACATAATGTGATGTTGCTCACTGCCAAGCCAGATGATATGCCAAAATTATGTTCTTTTCCCCTCCAGTAGCCTTGTGTTTTTCCTGAAGTTCATAATTGCATCTACTTTTGTGTGCTGCTTCATATGTATTTATCACTAATATTTATCCAAACACTCAGATCTAATTTCCCAGTGGCCCAAGTATGTCAATGACTGGCGGTCGTATTCATCACTGCTCCTGCCCCCCTGCAGAGTTCCAATATGTCTTTTAGGACCTTTAGACCTGGTAATTAGCTACTTTCCCGATACCTCCTTTTGCTGGTTCTCCTGTTCTGAATTCCATTTCCTAATCTTATGTGCTCTTTAATCTCAACCTACCTCCTCATTTTGCTAAAACAGTTCCTTCACTATCTTCCTGGGGCCTCCAAGTGTTCAGACTCCCAGATTTTTTTCTCAACAAATTTGTTTACTTCATATATATCTTCCCCTGTGGCTCCTGAGCTACAATTTCCCCTTTTCTACTAAATGAGTTGTTCTCCACTGGACTAGGGTACAGGCAATGGAGATGGAGAGAGGCAAACACATTCAGGTCGTGGTGGCAGGTGCCTGTAATCCCAGCTACTCGGGAGGCTAAGGCAGGAGAATCGCTTGAACCTGGGAAGCGGAGGTTGCAGTGAACTGAGATTGTGCCACTGCACTTCAGCCTGGGGGACAAGAGCGAGACTTCATCTCAAAAAAGAAAAAAAGGAAAATACAATAATGGTAGCCAGAGGCTAGGAAAAGAGCATGGATGAAGAGAGGTTGGGTCATGGGTATAAACATAAACATACAGTTAGATAGAAGGAACTCATTTTAGTGTTTGATAGCATAGTAAGGTGACTAGTTAACAATCATTTAATGTATATTTCGAAATAGCTAGAAGGAAAGATTTGGAATGTTCCCAACCCAAAGAAATGCTAAATGTTTTAGGAGATGGGTGTCCTAATTACCCTCATCTGATCATTACCTATTGTATGCTTGCATCAAAATACTGCATGTACTTCATAAATGTGTACAATTATGTATCAGTTTTTTCAAGTTTTTTTTTTTAAGGTAGACTTCTCTGGAGTGCCAATATCCGGGCCCTTTGGAGAGACTGCTACCTTTGGAGAGAGGGTAGCAAGAGAGGGGGCTTGAGTTCTGGAGCAGCCTCTGCCTTGGCTAGCCATCTGTCTTTGAGCATGTCTTCTCTAGCCTGCTGTTTTTTTCTAAGGTGAGAAAATTAGATGTCATATCCTCCAAGAAGCAATGCAGTGCTTAAATGTGATATTTTATGTATAGCCCTTGTCACAGTGCCTGGCACACAGTGAATACTCTGGCAATGTCTGACAGCTGGAAGGATGGTATTATCATCAGTCCTCTCCCACATCACCGCAGCACCTCCTCCCTGGTGTTCCTGATTCCACTCTTGCATCCTAGAATCTGTTTTCCGCATAGTAGCCAGAGTGACCGTTGAAGAAACATACATGAGACAAATGATAAAGCTTCTTTAGTATAAAATGTATGATCACAATTCTGCAGTAAAGGATTAGCTGGCCAGGTGTGGTGGCTCAGGCCTGCAATCCCAGAACTTTGGGAGGCCGAGGCAGGTGGATCACTTGAGGTCAGGAGTTCAAGACCAGCCTGGCCAACATCGCAAAACCTTGTCTCTATTAAAAATACAAAAAAATTAGCTGGGTGTGGTGGCATGTGCCTGCAGTCCCAGCTACTTAGAAGGCTGAGGCAGGAGAATCTCTCGAACCTAGGAGGCAGAGGTTACAGTGAGCTCTGACCATGCCACTACACTCTAGCCTGGGTGACAGTTAGACTTTGTCTCAAAACACACACACACACACACACACACACACACACACACACACGATTAACCTTGCCCAAAGAAACGTTTGGCCTTCGCTCAGCTCCTGGGTGGTAACCTCTAAGCCTGGAATGTCCTGCCTAATAAGGTGCCTTTGTTTATCTGGGGGCCTTGGGCCACCAAGATCCTATATGCCAATTGATTTGTGGCTTGGGGGAACTTGGGCCACACAATAGCAGCTTGACTTTTGGAGGGCCTAGAGACTAAGGTCAGCCACATCCACATGACTGACTTCCAATCAAAACCCCAGACACCAAGGCTCAAATGAGCTTCCCTGTTTAGCAGTACTCCATGTGAGTTGTCAGGGATTGTGCTGGAACAATTAAGCACTGTCCATGAGATTCCAGTGGGAGAGACTCCTGAGGAAGCTTGTGCCTGCTGTCCCTTGGGCCTCTGTGCCTCATCCCTTTGTATGAGGGGTGAGGTTGTTCTGTATTCTTTCTCTGCAATAAACCATAACCCTCAGCACTTTGGGAGGCCAAGACGGGCAGATCATTTGCCGTCAGGACTTGGAGACCAGCCTGGCCAACATCATGAGGTCCCGTATCTGCTAAAAACGCAAAAAAATTAGGTGGGCATGGTGGCAGGTGCCTGTAATTCCAGCTACTCAGGAGGCTGAGGTAGGAGAATTGCTTGAACCTGGGAGGCAGCATTTGCAGTGAGCTTAGATTACACCACTGCACTCCAGCCTGGGTGACAGAGTGAGACTCCATCTCAAAAATAAATAAATAAATAAATAACCATGAATATAATCATTCTTCTGAGTTCTGCGAGTCCCCCTAGCAAATCATTGAACCTACAAGTGGCTCAGGGGACCCCTGAACTGCAATGCTTTTTTAAGTTAAAATCTAACAAAGACAGAGTACTCACCCTTACTAAACAATCAACATGTACCTAACATCTACCTGTTAAGAAAGTCTTGAATATGATACCATCTAGAAAAATCTGATTAAAAACTTCAGTGTTAAGATGTGTGAAAGTATTTTGCTTTAGTGAGTGCTAGTGTTCCTATTTTAGACTTACAGATCATTTACTACCCTACTTAAAAGCCCAGTGGCTTCTTAGTGTGGCTGGAATAAAATCCTAACTCCTTTTTTTAGTTTACAAAGTTCAAATGGCGCTGCCCCTGCCCAACTCTCTGACCTTGTGTGGCATCACCTGTTCCTTTCCCCCATGCTCCGGCCACCTTGGCCGTTCCACTGTTCCTTAGACAGGCCAAAGCTCCTCCAGCTCGGGGCCTTTGTGCGTGCTGTTCCTCTGCAAGGAGAGCTGTTTCTGTGTTGTCCTTTCCTGCTCAGCTTCTCCCAGGAAGTCTCTCGCCCTGAGAAAAATAGCTACCCCAATAGTCTCTATAACATGGCACATGCCACCACACCTGGCTAATGTTTTTGTATTTTAGTAGAGACAGGGTTTCACCATGTTGCCCAGGCTGGTCTCAAACTCCTGAACTCAGGCAACCTGCCCGTCTGAGCCTCCCAAAGTGCTAGGATTACAGGCATGAACCACCTCGCCCAGCCAATTTTTGTATTATTAGTGGAGATGGGGTTTTGCTGTTTTGCCCAGGCTCATCTCGAACTCCTGACCTCAGGTGATCCACCCCCCTCAGCTTCCCAAAGTGCTGGGATTACAGGAATGAGTCACCGCTCCCAGCCCATCAGTACCTTTCTGATCTCTGAGGAGTTTCCAAGGCCGAGTCCTGGAGGCTGCTCACAAAGATTTTATGTCATTAACACTAGATGGCATCAGAAACTGACCAGATGCACCAGCCAAGCCTTACACTCCAGGCCCGGAGTTCATCAGGCCAGAACCCATCATTTCCCTCACTTTTATTTTAAAATTAAGCAAAAACAGAATATCAGCTATAAGTAACAGTTACATAATCACTTCCAATATATAAAATACTCCTTGGTGGCCGGGCATAGTGGCTCACACCTGTAATCCCAGCACTTTCGGAGGCCACGGCAGGTGGATAATTAGGTCAGGAGTTCAAGACTAGCCTGACCAACATGGTGAAAGCCTGTCTCTACTAAAAATACAAAAATTAAACAGGTGTGGTGGCGAGTGCCTGTAATTCCAGCTACTTGGGAGGCTGAGGCAGGAGAATTACTTGAACCCAGGAGGCAGAGGTTGCAGTGAGCCGAGATCACACCACTGCACTCTAGCCTGGGCAACAGGGTGAGATCCTGTCTAAAAATAAAAAATAAAACTCCTTGGAGCTAACCTAATGAAGAAAATATATGGTGAATTTCTTTTTGAATGAATTTTAGCTATTTCTAATCTTTTTCTCTTAAAAAATTTTTTTTGAAAAACAAAAAAAACATTTATTTCTGTCAACTGAGTGCAGAGATGTTCTTCACAACTCCAACGCAGTACAGATTTCTTCCCCAAAACAAAATGAGCAAGGAAGAAAGAAAAAGAGCTATATCAGATGTGCTCATGAAGAACCAAGCCACTCTCATCTTTCTTTAAAAACAAAACACAACGATGCTTTTGAGTGTGTGGTGCGGGCCTAGGATTGAAGCCGAAGGCTTTTGGCGCACCGTTACCAAGGCTTTGCTCAGCTCCCAGCTCAGTGGATCAGCCCTGCGGCCTAAGCCATCCTCACAGCTTGCACAGTAGCTTCCAGAACCTAAATGATCCATTCCCAGCAATCTTTAAATTCCCAGTCCCCACCCTGGGCCTCTCTTCCTAGCATCCTTATTGCTTTGGGAGCCCCTGAAGTGAACCCTGAAGTACTCTGTCAACTCTGGGCTCAGACCTTTGCCCTTCTCTGTGTCACAAGGAAATGCCTGTCAAGAGGGTGGGAACAGGTGATTTCAGACCGTGCAGTAAAGCCACTGCCAGGCAAGTTTTAAGGCAAATCTTCTCTCCTTATTCGGTCTGAGCCAGCCCTGACCTCACCCCCAAGCAATCCTGCCTCTGCCAGACATGCAACTTAGGCAACTCTGGATGGAGGTGGGAGGAGGGAGGCTGGGGCAGATTCCAGGAGGTCTGGGTCTGACTAGGGAATGGACGTGTGTGTTTTTGAAGGCTGCAGGCACCGGGCACAGCTCCTGGCCCAGCTGCCCGAGTGGTGCCCAAGAAAACCAAGATGGCAAAACAGGCCCCGGCTCTGGAAGCAATGTGAGGCCATGCAGATCTCACTAGGAGGACCTCGTCCCATGTAACAGAAACTCCAGGAAAAGGGGTCACTGCAGGAGTCCCCTCGGATCTGACGGTAGGCAGGACCTTGCATCAAAATGATTTTCCTTTAGAACAAAAAAGAGGGGGAGGAAAGAAAAAGATCAAAGAAAGAGGTTCCATGAGCGTCCTGAGATGGGACACAGCAGGGTTGTGAGAAGCAGGAAGGTGGGGGCTGCAGACACAGGGTGGCGGGCGCTGCCTCTCATGGCTTCTTTTCTCCCTTGTGGGCTGGTGGGCTGGTAGCTGAAGCTGGCGGTCCCCTCCCCTGGGGAGCAGGCAGATGACTTTGGCAGGCAGGGGGCTGGGGTTACTCCTCTGGGCGTCGTAGATGGCTCCGCCCGCCTTATTCAGCTCACTCTTGATGAAATCTTCCTCCAGCTCCTTCCGATCACTGATCACAAACTCCTTAGCGAAATTCTATACGACCTCCTTGACCAGGGTCTTGTCCGTCCTGGTTTTGGCGCGCTCCAGCCCGCTGACGTCCTCACTGATCCATGTGATGAGAGTGAACTTGGGCTTCTTGCTCATGGCATCCCCGGTGGTGAAGCGCACGAAGGCAAACAACCGGACGTCATCTGTGCACTGCTGGATGAAGTGCTGGTATTCCGCTCCCTGCTCGCCGGGGACGATGGTGGAGCCGTCATATTTAAAAGTCACCCAGATGACGGACGAGCCGTCGTCGCGCACCAGGTTGTACGCCGCCCAGCAAGCTTCTTTGTCGATCTTGGTGGCTATCGCCGCAAGGCCACAGCGGGGACACTGCCCGGGACGGCCGAGAGCGCCCCTGGCCGCCGGTGGGGTTGGGAGCGTGGCGGGGACGCTCAGAGGCCGCACGGGCAGGAGGCGGTGGCGAGGGCGACGTGGCGCCTGCGAGCTCCCAGTGCGGCGGCGGCGGCTCCCACTCTTAAAAAATATTTTGTAAAGGCCAGGCGCGGTGGCTCACGCCTATAATCCCAGCACTTTGGGTGGCCGAGGCGGGTGGATCACGAGGTCAAGAGATCGAGACCATCCTGGTCAACGAAGTGAAACCCCTTCTCTACTAAAAATACAAAAATTGCCCCGCACGGTGGTTCAAGCCTGTAATCCCAGCACTTTGGGAGGCCGAGGCGGGTGGATCACAAGGTCAAGAATCGAGACCATCCTGGTTAACATGGTGAAACCCCGTCTCTACTAAAAATACAAAAAATTAGCTGGGCATGGTGGCGCGTGCCTGTAATCCCAGCTACTTGGGAGGCTGAGGCAGAATTGCCTGAACCCAGGAGGCGGAGGTTGCGGTGAGCGGAGATTGCGCCATTGCACTCCAGCCTGGGTAACAAGAGTGAAACTCCGTCTCAAAAACAAAAACAAAAACAACAAAAATTAGCTGGGCATGGTGGTGCGCGCCTGTAGCCCAGCTACTCGGGAGGCTGAGGCAGGAGCATTGCATGAACCCAGAAGGCGGAGGTTGAGGTGAGCCGAGATCGTGCCTTTGCACTCCAGTCTGGGTAACAACAGCGAAACTCCGTCTCAAAAAAAAAAAAAAAAAAAAAAAAAAAGACGGTTGCTATGAAGGCTCACAGAGGTAATCCCAGTGCTTTGGGAGTTCGAGGAGGGAGGATTGCTTAAGGCTAGAAATTCAAGACCAGCCTGGACAACATAGTGAGACTGTGTCTTTAAAAACTTAAAAAATTATCTTGTGTGATGGTACCCATGCCTTTGGTTCTAGCTACTCAGGAGGTTGAGGCAGAAGAATCGCTTGAGCCTGGGAGTTCAAGGTTGCTGAGAGTATGCCACTGCGCACCAGCCTGAAGGGCAAGCTCTGTCTCTTAATTTTATTTATTTATTTTCTTTGAGACAGGGTCTCAGTCTGTCACCCAGGCTGGAGTGCAGTGGCACGATCAAAGCCTACTGCAGCCTCAGGCCCCCAGGCTCAAGAGATGCTCCCACCTCAGCCTCCCAAAGTACTATGGGATCATAGGAGTGAGCCACCACACCTGGCCATACCCTGTGTCTTAGGTCTTGAGTTTCCCAAGGTTTTCCTTTCTGCCTTCACTAAGCAAGGAAGCCCTCTGCATGCAATCCTGCGGCAGCCCATGGTTCTGCTGGGAGGGAAAGTGACTTGTTCGGAGTTACAGAGCGGCAGAGCAGGTGACTCTGTGAGTGCGCTTGAACATGTCAAACAAGCTTTCCCTCAAGTCTGGGTGTTGAGAGCAGCCCTCCCTTGGGGCACCTCCGTGGGTCAGTCACCTTCGATAGGTTGCAGCCCAAGCCAGAAGGCAGGAGAATGCTGGAGAGAGAACGTCAGAGAGGACACTGGGCAAGCTGGAGTCCAGCCTGCCTCTGGCCTGTTTCCCACCTGGGGACCCTCCCAAGCACCTCACATCCATGGACACACAGGACCCTTTCTAACCATTTTTATCACCTATTTCTCACTTCCTTTTTCAGAGTCACATTCCCAGTGGCTCTTATTGTCCTTCGCAACCCCACTTGATGTTGAATAGCTTCAAATACACTTTAGTGAAGCATAATAGTAATCCTATGCACTCAGTAGGGAGTTATTGATTTTGGGTGTAAAATACTAATGTGTCTTTCAGAGCTATTTCTGTATGTCATTAGAACGCAGCTCACATGATGTTTCCTAATGTACCAACCACACCAAGACCTATTTTTCTTTCTGGGAAAACATTATTTACCACTAACATTACTTTTTTTCCCCTCTTTTTATTTTTATTGCATGTTCAGACACTCGATGATAACTGATTATAGGCTGGTCCTGTTAAGGCATCAGCTGTTTCCATTTTTTCAGAGTTTTTTTCTGGTCTGCAGAGACACAGAGCTGTATTCTCACATCAGTATTCCACTGGCGTGATTTTCAATGGTGCAATCTAAAGACATATACTCAATTGCTCCTGTCCAATTTTGTCTCTGATGAAATAAAAATGTAAAATGTTTTGGCATATCATTTTCTAAATGTTTCTCTGTGTTTTGCAGAAATACACATTATTGATGGCAAGATAGGCGCAAGGTCAGAATAAGTGGTATTTTCCCTGGCTTCCAGCACCCCCACCAGGAGGCATCCAGAACAGGTCACCATGCTCTTGGGAGCTTCTTTGTATGGTGTCATTCAGCATGCTTACCTATTCTGAAACCATACAAGGCAGCCACATGGTGTGCCCAAAAGCACTGAAAGCTGGGACCACCCTATGTGTCACCAAACCTTTTCCTCCTAAGCACACAGGGAGACCACATTGCATCTAGAGAAATAAGAGATGTAGCTGGGCGTGGTGGTTCATGCCTATAATCCTAGCACTTTGGTAGGTAGAGGCAGGTGAATCACTTGAGGTCAGGAGTTTGAGACCAGCCTGGCCAATGTGGTAAAACCCCATCTCTACTAAAAATATAAAAATTAGCCAGGCATGGTGGCCTGCACCTGTAGTCCCAGCTACTTGGGACACTTAGGCAGGAGAATTGCTTGAACTGGGAGGCAGAGGTTGCAGTGAGCTGAGATTGTGCCATTACACTCCAGCCTGGGCGACAGAGTAAGACTTCATCTCAAAATAAATAAATGATTAACTGGGTGTGGTATCACATGCCTATAGTCCCAGCTAATTGGGAGGCTGAGGTAGGAGGCTGGTTTGAGTCTGGAAGGTTGAGGCTGCACCAAGCCAGGATCTTGCCCCTGAACTCCAGCCTGGGTGACAGAGTGAGACCTTGTCTCAAGATAAAACACTACAGAATGGAAAGTATTTCTGTGCAGTGAAGAATTAACACAGCAGTCCTGGGACTGCTCTCCTTAGAAAGACCTGCTTGCAAGGCTGGCCCTTGGCTGCTATCTGGGAACTTGGATTTCAGGAGGATTCCCATAATTCCTAGAACTCCTGACTTCAAATTATCCACCTACCTCGGCCTCCCAAAGTGCTGGGATTACAGGCCTGAGCCACCGTGCCCAGCCTTGTCTTTACATTTCTGAACTTCCTTCTTGTCCCCTGAAATGCCCTCTGCTCTTGGTACCCAGTGCATTTAAGGTGCCACATACCCTTGAAGAAAAGAATGTATCCCCCCAAAATATATACAATTATTACTTGTCAATTCAAACATTTCTATTTTAGTTTTTGTTACTTTTTAAAATTATGTATTTATGGCCGGGCCCGTGCTCAAGCCTGTAATCCAAGCACTTTGGGAGGCTGATGCAGGTGGATCACGAGGTCAAGGGATCAAGACCATGATGGTCAACATGGTGAAACCCCGTCTCTACTAAAAATACAAAAAATTAGCTGGGCATGGTGGTGCATGCCTGTAATCCCAGCTACTCAGAAGGCTGAGGCAGGAGAATTGCTTGAACCCAGGAGGCAGAGGTTGCGGTGAGCCGAGATCGCGTCATTGCACTCCAGCCTGGGTAACAAGAGCGAAACTCCGTCTCAAAAAAAAAAAAAAAAAAGTATTTATTTATTTGAGATAGAGTCTCCCTCTATCACCCAGGCTGGAGTGCAGTGACACAATCACAGCTCACTGTAGCCTCAAACTCCTAGGCTCAAGCAATCTTCCCACCTTAGCCTCTCGAGTAGCTGGGACTACAAGCGCACACAACCACACCAGCTAATTAAAAAAAATTTTTTTTTGAGACGCAGTTTCACTCGTTGCCCAGGCTGGAGTGCAGTGGTGTGATCTTGGTTCACTGCAACCTCTGCCTTCCAGGTTCAAGCGATTCTCCTGCCTTAGGCTCCCGAGTAGCTGGGACTACAGGCATGCACCACCACGCCCGGCTAATTTTGTATTTTTAGTAGAGACGGGGTTTCTCCATGTTGATCAGTCTGGTCTTAAACCCTCAATTTCAGGTAATCCACCCTCCTCAGCCTCCCAAAGTGATGGGATTATAGGCGTGAGCCACCACATCCAGCCAATTTTTAAATGTTTTATAGAGACAGGATCTCACTATGTTGCCCTGACTGGTCTCAAACCCCTGAGTTCAAGCAATCCTCCCGCCTCAGCCTCCCAAAGTTCTGGAATTACAGGTGTGAGCCACCGCACCTGGCCCAATAAAACATTTTTTTAAAAGACTGTATCTAACAGCTGTTCATCCTGAAGTAATTTAGCGTGCTACCTCTCCCAGAGACTTCCTCTTTAAAAAATAAAAATAGGCCAGGCATGGTGGCTCACACTTACAATCCCAGCACTTTGGGAGGCCGAGGCAGGTACATCACTTGGGGTCAGGAGTTCGATACCAGTCTGAGCGACATGGCAAAAACCCATCTCTACCAAAAATATGAAAATTAGCTGGGCGTGGTGGCGGGCACCTGTAATCCTAGCTACTTGGGAGGCTGAGGCAGGAGGATAGCTTGAACCGGGAGGTGGATGTTGTGAGCTGACACCAAACTACTGGACTCCAGCCTGGGCGACAGAGCGAGACCCTATCTTAAAAAATAAAATAAAATAAAAATAAATCCAGGAAGCACAATGTTTAGCCAAAAGAATAAATCTATGGTTACAGATTTGAACTGAAATCAGTCAGCAACAAAAATTATTTGTGGGGGGCCAGGCGCGGTGGCTCATGCCTATAATCCCAGCACTTTGGGAGGCCGAGGCAGGTGGATCACGAGGTCAAGAGATCGAGACCATCCTGGTTAACACGGTGAAACCCCGTCTCTACTAAAAATACAAAAAATTAGCTGGGCACAGTGGCGCGTGCCTGTAATCCCAGCTACTCAGGAGGCTGAGGCAGGAGAATTGCCTGAACCCAGGAGGCAGAGGTTGTGGTGAGCCGAGATCACGCCATTGCACTCCAGCCTGGGTAATAAGAGCGAAACTCCGTCTCAAAAAAAAAATTATTTGTGGGAAGAAATGGTGCAGATAGAGCCCCTCGAGGCACGGTACCTACTTCACCCGTGTCCAGACCCATTGGATTTTAGAAATAATGGGTTTGGAAGGACAACGTTCTCATCAAGTTACAGCTGGCTCCTAACAGCTTCAGGGATCTGTTGGAATCATGTTGCCTCCCACAGAGCATCCAGGGAAAAACTTAGATCATGGTTCGGGAGGTGCTCAAATGTCCCATTCACTGTTGCTGGCTAGTTTGTTAGGTATGTGGATCAGCAGGTCTTCGGGCGTACTTGCAGTTGGCATGCAGCCAATAAAGCACAGGGCACATCCAAGGTACTGGTAGCCAATGCCCGGGTACTGTATCAGCTTGGACAAGTCTGTGTCTTTCACACTGTGGCCTCGGCAGTGGGGCGGAGGGTGGGGGGAGTGGTCCCAGTCACTGGTATGGACACTGTGGACTCCCAGAAACCAGCTGGCAGGGATTTTAGTCAAGCACAGCTCTCAACAAGAAATGGAGCTGGTTACAGGGAGTGGATGAGAAGGAAGCAGATAGAAGAATTCAAAGTTTAAGACCCGGTGCGGTGGCTCATGCCTGTAATCCCGGCACTTTGGGAGACCGAGGCAGGTGGATCACGAGGTCAGGAGTTCAAGACCAGCCTGGCCAACATGGTGAAACCCCAACTCTACTAAAAATACAAAAATTAGCTGGGCATAGTGGTGCATGCCTGTAATCCCAGCTACTTGGGGAGGCTGAGGCAGGAGAATTGCTTAAACTGGGACCCAGGAGGTTGCAGTGAGCCGAGATCACGCCACTGCACTCCAGCCTGGGCTACAGAGCCAGACTCCATCTCAAAAAAAAAAAATTTTTTTTCAAAATTTAAAAAGAAAAAACAGCAAATGAGAAAGCCTAAAGGGGCCTCCTGAAATGTTCAGTGTTCAAAATTCATAGCTCATCTGTAAACCCCTGGGGTTGTCTTTTTTTTTTGTTGCCCAGTCTAAAGTGCAGTGGTGCGATCTCGGCTCACTACAGCCTCTCCATCCCAGACTCGTGATTCTCACACCTCAGCCTGTCGAGTAGCTGGGAATACAGGCGTATGCTACCACACCCTGCTAAATTTCTTATTTTTAGTAGAGACAGGTTTTTACCATGTTGCCCAAGCTGCTCTCAAACTCCTGACCTCAGGTGATCTGCCCGCCTCAGCCTCCCAAAGGACTGGGATTATAGGCGTGAGCCATTGTGCCCGGCCAATTTCTGAGTAAAGCTGACATCATCTTCTCGATTTCCTAGAGTTCTTTCTCTACCCTAACTTACTACAAAACGAGGAGATTCCTATTGCTTCCCTCTCACTTCTCTCTCCACCCTGCTGATATTCCTAAACAGAAACCACCATTCTCTTTTGCTTACAGGGTGATGGTAGCAATCACTATGAGAAACAAACAGATGGGAGAGGAAACAGACATTAAAAGGCAAGTAAATAAAAATACGGGGCAGGGGCTGAGCACGGGGGCTCGAGCCTATAATCCCAGCAGTTTGGGAGACTGAGGTGGGGAGATCACTTAAGGCTGAGTTCACGACCAGCTTGGCCAACAGGATGAAACCCATCCTTACTAAAAATACAGAAAAATTAGCCAGGCATGGTGGCACACGTCTATAGTACCAGATACTTAGGAGACTGAGGCAGGAGAATCACTTGACCCTGGGAGGCAGATGTTGCAGTGAGCCAAGATGATGCCACTGCACTCCAGCCTGGGCAACAGAGCGAGAATCTGTCTCAAAAAAAAAAAAAAAAAAAAAAAAAAAATATATATATATATATATATAAGCTTATTAAGGCCTTGGCCACTGCCAGGGTCAGTTTCTGACTCATTCGCACACAGATGCCTTAGCCTTGGAGTTATGAGCTTGTGCTCTGCATTCAGACACACCTGGCGTAAATCCCACTGCCACTTACAGATGTACTACAAGTGCCTGTCCCACCCGTTCTCACTTTCCTGCCCTTCCTATAAAATTAAAGAGTGCTAATGACTTGTATCACTGGGTTATCGAAGGATCCAATAAAGTAATATAAGCAGAGAACTTAGCCTCCTCAATATTCAGTATGTGCTATCTGATACTGTTATCAGTATATACTGATAGATCGATTCTACAACACGGGTTAGCAAATGCTAGCCCACCATCTGTTTTTGTTTATCCCATGAGCCAAGGATGGATTTTACTGATGACAACTTTCAATCAATGTGATGAGAGAACACTACCTGTGAATTCCAATTAAGTGAAACACTATCCTCCCCAAAAAGGAAATTCCATTCTTCTTCTCATTAGTAGATCTGTATTGCAGAAGAAAAGTTCTCAGTTACTTTATATATATATATATATAATTACATATAAATAAATAAATATATATGTATTGAGGTCCAGGAGTTTGAGACCAGTCTGGCCAACATGGTGAAACCCCATCTCTACTAAAAATACAAAAATTAGCTGGATGTGCTGGCACATGCCTGTAGTCCCAGTTACTCTGGAGGCTAGGGCAAGGGAATCACTTGAACCTGGGAGCCAGAGGTTGCAGTAAGCCAAGATCACGTCACTGCACTCTAGCCTGGGTAACAAAGGGATACTCCATCTCAAAAACTAAATGAATAAAAATTTAAAATGAAATAAATAATTAAAATGAAAGTATATTATTTATTATTATTATTTGCGAGATGGACTCTCACTCTTGTCACTCAGGCTGGAGTGCAGTGGCACGATCTCTGCTCACTGCAACCTCCACCTCCCATGTTCAAGCGATTCTCCTGCTTCAGCTTCCCAAGTAGCTGGGACTACAGGCTCATGCCACCACGCCTGGCTAATTTTTTTTTTTTTTCTCGTAGAGATGGGGTTCCATGCCAGCTAATTTTTTTGTTATTTTTAGTAGAAACAGGATTTCACCGTGTTAGCCAGGATGGTCTTGATCTCCTGAACTCGTGATCCTCCCGCCTCAGCCTCCCGAAGTGCTGGGATTACAGGCGTGAGCTTACTTCTTATTTTTTGAGACATGATCTCATTCTGTCTCCAGGCTAGAGTGCAGTGACCTGATCATGGCTGACTGCAGCCTCAACCTCCCAAGACTCAGGTGATCTTCCTATCTCAGTCCCCCAGCAGCTGGTACTACAAGCGTATTCCCCCACACTCAGCTAATTTTTATATTTTTAGTAGAGACAAGGTTTCACCCTGTTGCCCAGGCTGGTCTCAAACTCCCAGGCTCAAATGATCCACTCACCTTGGACTCCCAAAGTGCTGGGATTACAAGCGTGAACCACCACAGCCAGCCAAAAAAAATTTTTAAAACTTTGCTGGCCAGGCACAGTACCTTACACCTGTAATCCCAGCATTTTGGGAAGCTGAGGCAGAATATCACAGTAGCACAGGAGTTCGAGACCAGCCTGGGCAACATGCCAAAACCCCATCTCAAAAACAAAAGAATTAGCCAGGTGGTGTGGTGGTGCAGGCAGGTAGTCCCAGCTTACTTGGGAGGTGAAGTGGGAAGATGGCTTCAGCCCAGGAGGTGGAGATTGCAGCAAGCTGTGATTGCACCACTGCACTCTAGCCTGGGTGACACACTGAGCCCCTCCCTGTCTCAAAAAAAGAAAAAAAGAAAAGTTTTGTCAAATCCTGTTCTAGAACAATCTATGGCTGCCTCCTTCCAGTTCTCTGCTGTCCTCCTTGACATAAGAATTCACTTCTTTCCTTACCCACCACAAATACAGGTTGGCCAGTCAAGAGCTGCAAAAGGTTCATTGACATCTCAGTATCTTCAGTTCCTCGTTGAGCCCAGGAGGTGGAGGTTGCAGTGAGCCAAAGTCAAGATCGCACCACAGCACTCCAGACTAGGCAACAGAGCAAGACTATCTCAAAAAAAAAAAGAAAAGAAAAGAAGGGAAAATGGTTTGAGAATGCACCAGATAGTCTGTGCTAATCAGTTAATGTGTCCTTCTCCAGTGGGATAAGGTCTTTGGGAAAACTTAGAAACTGTGATATCACCTTTATAGGCAAGAGTGAAAACCCACTGCCTCCTGATCTCCCTAGCGACTGCCACTAAAAAAGTCCATCCCAGAGGTCCACAGGCTCCTTTAAGCACCAATCCCTGCTACAGATAAGCTCCAGGCACAGTGGTTCATGCCTGTAATCCCAGCGCTTTGGGAGGCTGAGGCTGACAGATCACTTGAGGTCAGGAGTTCGAGACCAGCCTGGCCAACATGATGAAACTCCGTCTCTACTAAAAATACAACAATTAGCCAGGCATAGTGGTGCTTGCCTGTGATCCCAGCTACTCAGGAGGCTGAAGCAAGAGAATCACTTGAATCCAGGAGGTGGATGTTGCAGTGAGCCTAGATCAAGTCACTGTACTCCAGCCAGAGCAACAGAGTAAGACTCCATCTCAAACAAACAAACAAAAACAGATAAGCTTGGCAAGACCTAAATTAATAAATTATTGTTTAAGAATCACCCCATCTCCTTTTTTTTTTTATTTGACATAGAGTCTCACTCTGTTACCCAGGCTAGAGTGCAGTGGTGTGATCTTGGCTCACTGCCAAGAGGAGGTCCAGGAGTTTGTATTGAGGTCCAGGAGTTTGAGACCAGTCTGGCCAACATGGTGAAACCCCATCTCTACTAAAAATACAAAAATGAGCTGGATGTGCCGGCACATGCCTGTAGTCCCAGTTACTCTGGAGGCTGGGGCAAGGGAATTACTTGAACCTCCCGGGTTCAAGTAATTCTCCTGCCCCAGCCTCCCGAGTGGCTGGGACTACAGGCACATGCCGCCACGCCCATCTAATTTTTTGTATTTTAGTAGAGACGGGGTTTCACTGTGTTGCCCAGGCTGGTCTTGAACTCCTGAGCTCAGGCAATCCACCCGCCTCAGCCTCCCAAAGTGCTAGGATTACAGGCGTGAGCCACCGCACCCAGCCAAAGAATTAACCCATTTTCTGACCAGGCACAAACAAGTTTTCTTCAGTATATACCCAACATTCCCTCTCCCTAGGGCCCTACCCTGTGAGAAGACATAGTGACCCCACCACCACCACAGACAAGGCTCATCTGGTGGGTCCATATCAGATAGGACTGTGAGCCAGGAAACACGGATCTTTCCTGAGATTCCCTGTCTTGGAAGTTCAGAGTGAAGGCCACATCACTAGCTACACAGGAGCTCCCCATTCCCCACACCCAACTGAACCCTAAGCCTCTTGGAGGTCGACACAGACCAGCTTCCTCATTGCTCATGTGCCAGCTGGTTCCCTTGTTCACTAAACACTTGCTTGGCCTGAGGAAAAGAGACACAGGGAGAGCCTGGCACTATGTACCATGAAATCTGACTAGGGTCTTTCATGGGCTGATCTATCTTTTGATATCTTAGCTCCTCAAATGTATACATAAAAGATAATATCTCTTTTCTTTCCTTTTTTTTTTTTTTTTTTTTGAGACAGAGTCTCACTATGTTGCCCAGGCTGGAGTGCAATGGTGCAACCTCCTCTCGGCTAACTGAAACCTCCGGCCCCAGGGTTCAAGCAATTCTCCTGCCTCAGCCTCCGAGTAGCTGAGATTACAGGTGCCCACCACCGAGCCTGGCTAATTTTTGTATTTTTAGTAGAGGCGGGGTTTCACCACCTTGGCCAGGCTGGTCTCAAACTCCTGACCTCGTAATCGTCCCACCTTGGCCTCCCAAAGTGCAGGGATTACAGGCGTGAGCCACCACACCTGGCCAACAATATCTGTCTCAGAAAGCACAAAGTGGCTGGGCGTGGTGGCTTACGCCTGTAATCCCAGCACTTTGGAAGGCCAAAGTGGGCAGATCAATTGAGGTGAGGAGTTCAAGACCAGCCTGGCCAAGATGGCAAAACCCCTTCTCTACTAAAAATATAAAAAATTAGGCTGGGCTCAGTGGCTCAAGCCTGTAATCCCAGCACTTTGGGAGGCCGAGGCAGGTGGATCACGAGGTCAAGAGATCGAGACCATCCTGGTCAACATGGTGAAACCCCGTCTCTACTAAAAATACAAAAAATTAGCTGGGCATGGTGGCCCGTGCCTGTAATCCCAGCTACTCAGGAGGCTGAGGCAGGAGAATTGCCTGAACCCAGGAGGCGGAGGGTGCGGTGAGCCGAGATCGCGCCATTGCACTCCAGCCTGGGTAACAAGAGCGAAACTCCGTCTCAAAAAAAAAAAAAAAAAAAATTAGCCGGGCGTGGTGGCAGGTGCCTGTAATTCCAGCTACTCGAGAGGCTGAGGCAGAGAATTGCTTGAACCTGGAAGGCAGAGGTTGTAGTGAGCCGAGATTGCACCACTGCACTCCAGCCTAGGCGACAGAGCAAGACTCCATCTCAAAAAGAAAATTAAAAAAAAAAAAAAGGCAGGCGGTACTTCAAGATGGCGGCGCCCAATGGTACTATGAGCGATTCGGAAAGCAGTAGCAGCAGTAGCAATGCGGAGGAGCTGGCGCGGTGCCACAAGGCAGCAATACTGGCCTGGGGCTTGGAGCAACCGCTGCACCGGGCAGTGAAGCCAAGAGCCGGTGCTGCAAATAACCAGTTGTCAACCTCCCAACCGAGCCTCAGGCCTAAGGTGGATGAGCATGAACAAGATGGCAACAAGCTTCAGAGCAACAAGCTTCAGAGCACCCCCCAATTCCGAGCCCACGTAGCCAAGAAGCTGGGAGCCCTGCTGGACAGTTCCATTACCATCTCAGAAGTAGCAAAGGAGCCAAAAAAAGCTCAGGTACAGAAAGTCGCTTCAGAGGTTGATGGTTTCCGCCTTTTCTTCACGTCTGTCCCTGGAGGCCGTGAGAAGGAAGAGTCGCCCCAACCCCGCCGAAAGCGCCGGCCCTCCAGCTCCAGCAGTGAGGACAGCGATGAGGAGTGGCAGCGGTGCCGGGAGGCAGCTGTGTCGGCGTCGGACATCCTGCAGGAGTCAGCCATCCACGGCCCTGGCACGGTGGTGAAGGAGGCAAAGAAGAAAAGGAAGTCGAAAAAGAAAGCCAAGAAGGTGGCGATAGTTGCCACCACCACCCCCAGCGTGGCCACAGTCCAGAAGCAGAAGTCAGGTGAGCTCACCAGGGACCAGGTGTCGCTTGGAACCAAAAAGAAGAAAAAGGCAAAGAAGGCCAGTGAGGCCTCTCCACTCCCACCAGCAAAGAATGCCACAGCAGTGCCTGCAAACTGAACCCAGCTGTGGGCACAGGGCTCAGCTCCAATGACAGGGTGCCCCGGGGCAAGGCATTTCCAAGCACCACCTCCCTCTCCAAGTTCAAGGACTGGGCTGGCAAGTCTACACTGCCCGTAAGACCCTGATGGTGATGAGGGCTTGCCCAAGAGTCTGGCCAAAAAAGTGGCTGTGGGTGAGAAGCCCAAGCACGGCCTGCCTGTCTGTGCTTCCATAGGGGGCTGGGGGCGTGTGGTTCCAGAACACTGCATGGCCTCAGGAAAAGGAGCCTTCCGGTTATTTGAGACTAGTGGCCAAGTGGTGAAAACTCTATCTCCCTAGAACTGTCTGAGGTGGGCAGGGGAAGGGAGACCTCCTCCCCCACCACCTCCTTAGCCTGGCGTGAGAAACCATTTTTAGAAAATGAGAGAAGGAATCCCAAGATGCCAAGGCCCAGAGAAACTTCTGTTCTTCTCCCCTTAGCCCACATAGACTTCACAGAAGTGTCTGAGAAAGGAAAGATTTGATTCTCCTGCCTCAGCCTCCTGAGCTTTTTAGAATTTCCTTTGTCTGCATTTGTGAATATACCACACATGATAGTGTCTCTGAGCCGACCAGATTATGGAAACTCAATTGTCGGGGGACCCAAATAAAACTGAGAGTGAGTTGGGATTGCCTCTGTCAGTGCTGAACCTTAAGATGCTTTGAATAAACATCCTCCTCCTCTCTCCACGCCCCCCGCCAAAAAAAAAGCATAAAGTTTGCTGGGCATGGTGGCTCAGCATGTAAACCTGTAAACCCAGCACTTTGGGAGGCCAAGGCAGGCAGATAGATCACCTGAGGCCAGGAGTTCAAGACCAGGCTGGTCAACATGGTGACACCCTGTCTCTTACTAGGCAAGGTACAGTGGCTCATGCCTGTAATCCCAGCACTTTGGAAGGCTGAGGCGGATGGATCATGAGGTCAGGAGTTTGAGACCAGCGTAACCAACATGGTGAAACCCCATGTCTACTAAAAATACAAAAAAATTAGCCAGGCATGGTGGCGCACACCTGTAGTCCCACTACTTGGGAGGCTGAGGTCAGAGAATCGTTTGAAAGTGGGAGGAAGAGGTTGCAGTGAGCCAAGATCTCACCACTGCACTCTGGCCTGGGTGACAGAATAAGATCCTGTCTCAAAAAAAATGAGAGAGAGAGAAGGAGGTAATGTGACCCAGTTAGCAACCACATCAGTGAAAAGATCTGGGCATGTAGAGTTCCCGACACACAGCAAGACCTGTTTGAAAGACCCTGCTGTAAACTGGCTGATAGTTGGGAACTTGAGATAAACTATCCCAGGGGAATCCCACCGCTGGCTTACCCAGTGGATCCAGTTCATGTGTGCTGAGGGCTCCGTGAGTTTATCTCATTAATGCATACCACAAATCCGTAACGACTTCCACCATTCCCCTCGAATTCACAGACAGTAAAATTAACATTGGAGTTCAAGGGACTTTCCCAAGGTCACACAAACAACAGTTAGTAGAACGTGGATTTGAACCTAGGCCAGGACTGCTCCACAATACCACTGCCATCCCACAAAGAGTGACTGAATCAAACCTATTTTCCCAAATCTATGCAAAAATGAGGACCAACTTCCAATCGGAGATATCACACCTTCCCTGCTGGCCACTGTTGGGCAGCAAGACCGAGTTCCCTGAGGCAGAGAGGGGTCTGGTGTTTTGCTCAGGGACTTCCTAAGATGAGAACCAGGAGAACAACCCCAGAGGGCTCTGGAATACGTGAACCAAAGGGTTTCTGTGTTCGATTTTCACAAGCAAGCCCTACCTTAGTCAACTACCCCATGTATTTCCAAGTAAAGAAAAGTCCATACTATGAATCACAGCACAATCACTCAGACATGCACAGGACTTCCCTGGAGGGAGCGCAAAGTGCCACTGGAGTTCAGTGACATTTTTATTCCTTTTTTTTTTTAGATGTCTTACTCTGTCACCTAGGCTGGAGTGTAGTGGCACAATCTCAGCTCACTGCAACCTCTGCCTCTGGGGTTGAAGTGATTCTTGTGCCTCAGTTTCCCAAGTATCTGGGACCACAGCTGAACACCACCACACCTGGCTAATTTTTGTTTTGTTTTGTTTTGAGATGGAGTCTCTCTCTGTTGCTCAGGCTGGAGTGCAATGGTGCAATCTCGGCTCACTGCAACCTCCGCCTCCCGGGTTCTAGTGATTCTCCTGCCTCAGCCTCCCCAGTAGCTGAGATTACAGGTGCCCGCCACTACTTCCTGCTAATTTTTGTATTTTTAGTAGAGATGGGATTTCACTATGTTGCTCAGGCTGGTCTCGAACTCCTGATCTCTGGTGATCCACCCACATTTTTAAAGATGTAAGTTCACGTTCATTGCAACAAGACCTCGCCTTTATTTCCCTACGGGGCAATAATGAAACTAATCTATCCTCCAATAAACTTAGTCAGTGATTAACAAATCATTGTCGATCGAGTCATTATAAACTGGAGACAGTGATGATAAAGAAACAGAAAGTTGCAATGTCACCTTACTCCACTGTGGATAGAAGATAAGGTTATTCATTGATGAGATGAAGAGACGATCAGTTACTTTGGGCAGGTGGACTGAGGGAGACCAGCCAGCACTTGCCTGGGGCTCACAGTGGGAACCAAACAGTGGGGCCAAGATGGGTGATTTTTTTTTTTCTTGAGATGGAGTCTTGCTCTGTTGCCCAGGTTGGAGTGCAATGGTACCACCTCGGCTGACTGCAACCTCCGACTCCTGGGTTTAAGCTATTCTCTTGCCTCAACCTCCCAAGTAGCTGGGATTACAGGTGACTGCCACCATGCCTGGCTAAAATTTTTTTTTGTATTTTTAATAGAGATAGGGTTTCTCCATGTTGGCCAGGCTGGTCTCGAACTCCTGACCTCAAGTGATATGCCTGCCTCCGCCTCCCAAAGTGCTGAGATTACAGGTGTGAGCCACTGTGCCCGGCTAGGTGACATTTTTAATGCACCCTATTCACTCCTGGCATCACCGAGGAATTTATCTATGGCATTTCCAGACACAGAAAACACTGCCCCGATGCATGATGCCCTAAACTTTGAGAATTGAAAGAAATCTTAGGCATCATCCAAAAATCAAGACATGTCCTTGAGGTCTCTTTCTCGTTTATCCTCCATTCTGATCCACCAGCAAGTCCTGCTGGTCTCCTTCCTAAGTATTTTCTAGACCTGCACATTTTCACCAAGGCCACTGTCACTACCCTGGTTCTGGTCACCAACTTTGTGTACCTCCAATTGGCTTCCCTGTTTTATTTCATCAGCTCTTCTTGACACCAAACACATATGTTTTCCATGTGCAAATGAAATGGTGCCACATGGAAACCAAACTGCTGGAAGCTCCAGGAGTTTCTCACAGAATAAATCATAACTCAGGCCAGGCACACAGAATAAAATTATAACTCAGGCCGGGCACAGTGGCTCACGCCTGTAATCCCAGCACATTGGGAGGCCGAAGCAGGTGGATCACAAGGTCAGGTGTTCGAGACCAGCCTGATCAACACGGTGAAACCCAATCTCTACTAAAAATACAAAAATTAGCCAGGCATGGTGGTTCATGCCTGTAATCCCAGCTGCTCAGGAGGTTGAGGCATGAGAATCACTTGAATCTGGGAGACAGAGGTTGCAGTGAGTCAAGATCGCATCACTGCACTCTAGCCTGAGCCACGGAGTGAGACTCCATCTCAAAAAAATAAAATCATAAATCCTGGCCAGGGGCAGTGGCTCACACCTGTAAACCCAGCAGTTTGGGAGGCCGAGGTAAGTAGATCACCAGAGGTCAGGAGTTCGAGACCAGCCTGGCTAACATGGTGAAACCTCACCTCTACTAAAAATACAAAAATTAGCCAAGCAGGTGGTGGTGCGTGCCTGTAATCCCAGCTACTCGGGATGCTGAGGCAGCAGAATCACTTGAACCCAGGAGGCAGAGGTTGCAGTGAGCCGAGATCACACCACTGCACTCCAGCCTAGGCAACAAAGCAAGGCTCTGTCTCAGGAGACAAAAAAAATTAAAAAATAAGAATGCTAGTGAAACTGGGCTACTGCCCACCCTAATGACCTCCTCTTAATTTGATTATATCTGCAAAGACACCCTATTTCCAAAGAAGCTCACATTGGTAGGTAACAAAGGTTAGAACTTCAATGTATCTTTTCAGGGGACATAATTCAACCCATAGCACAGGTCCTACCTGGCCCTGGAGTAGTCTACCCTGGCCTCCCATATTTCACTTGGCCTGCCCTGTTACACACGAGGCCCCTGCCACGCTGGCCTTCTCCCTGTCTGTGAATGAACCATGCTCAGCTCAACCTGTCATGTTCTGCCTGGAAAGCTCTCTCCCCAGTTTTGTTTTTCAGAGACAGGGTTTTTCTCTGTCCCCCAGGATGAAGTGCAGTAGCACAATGATGGCTTACTACAGCTTTGATCTCCTGGGCTCAAGCAATCCTCCCACCTCCGCCCCTCAAAGTGCTGGGATTACAGGCATGAGCCCTGTGCCCAGCCCTACTTACCAATCAGTTTAAGAGTCACTACTTGCAATGCAGGGAGGGGAGGAAGGAGAAAAAAGAATAATAATAAAAAAAAAAGAGTCAGTACTTCCAGACCAGATGCAGTGGTTCATGTCTGTAATCCCAGCATTTTGGTGGGGGCCGAGGTGGGCAGATCACTTGAGGTCAGGAGTTTGAGACCAGCCTGGTCAACATAGAGAGACTCAACAAAAATTAGCCAGGCTGGTGGCAAACATCTGTAATCCCAGCTACTCAGGTGGCCAAGGCATGAAAATTGCTTGAACCCAGGAGGCAGAGGTTGCAGTGAGCCAAGGTGGTATCACTATACTCTAGCCTGGGCAACAGAGGAAGACTCTGTCTTAAAAACAAACAAACAAAGAACTCATTACTTCCAAAGGCTCCCATCTGACCTCCCAGTTTAAAATGTTTCAGAAAAATCACATTAACTTGTTTCTTATCTGTCTACCCCAGTAGGCTGCTCACTCCTCAAGGGCAAAGGCCTTGTCTGTCTTCTTCACATCTGTGGCCCAGTGCCTAGAACAGTGTCTGGCATCAAGCTGTCAATGAATCTACGAAGGAATTAGGAAATTTTTTGTTTTTTGTTTTTTGTTTTTGAGATGGAGTTTCGCTCTCGTTACCCAGGCTAGAGTGCAATGGCACGATCTTGGCTCACCGAATCCTCCCTCTCCTGGGTTCAGGCAATTCTCCTGCCCCAGCCTCCTGAGTAGCTGGGATTACAGGCACGCACCACTGTGCCCAGCTAATTTTTTGTATTTTTAGTAGAGACGGGGTTTCACCATGTTGACCAGGATGGTCTCGATCTCTCTTTTTTTTGTTGTTGTTTATAAAATTTATTGATCTCTCATTTAGGAATTAAGAGCAAAAGCTTGAAAAACCTGAAAAAAAAAAAATAGCCCCTTCCCCACTACCCAAACGAAATCTGAACACATTAGCGCGGCGAAATATCAAACAGATCATGGCAGAAATCACCAACTCAACATGACGGGACAGAAGCTGTCCCGCTGCTAGGGGCGGCGAGGCGGGAGACACACGCACACCTGGCTATAAATTAACATTGGCTTTAGCTGCCGGCGTCGCTGGGAGTGGTCAGCGCCCCAAAAAACCACGAGGAAAAGAGAAGCGACACGATTCGCGTAGGCGTTGCAGTTGTCCCGCCAGACTCACCCGATACTTCGGTTCTTCCATTCACTCACTCCTTGGCTAACTGCAAACTAACGACAGCATTTTCAGTGTAACTGAAGAACCCAGGAACTCAGGAGGAGGAGTGGGGTGGGGGGGCTGTTTTTTCTTTGCAAATATCACAGGGATTCCCAGCCTACAAAGGAGAAAGAAGGGGTAGTGGCGTGGGGTAAAAGAACTCTCTAGAAGTCCCATTTCCGCTGCTCCTGACTTCTTTTTGCTATTGTACAAAACCCGACAGCTACAGCAAAACTTTCAGTCCTCCCCCATGGGAGGGTCCCCATGGGCAACAGTCCCAGGCAAGCAAAGCTAAATGAGGCGTCCCAACTTGGGGGTGCGGGGCAAGGGGGTGGAGGGTGGATAATGAGGGTCGACCAACGCAGGCCGGTGCTCAGATGTGGGTGAGCGGCACCGTTCCGTTGACTGCAGTCCTGGCGCCCTGGTAGTGCTGGTGCACGCCGTGCAGGCGACCGCCGGGCAGCGGAGAGGCGGCGTCGGCCGCGTCCCCGTCGGGTGGCAGGTACATGCTTGCTGATCCTGTCGCGCAGGTCGCCCATGGGGCCCAGGCTCCTGGCGGCTGCGGCCGCGGCGGTGGCGGGCTGAAGCCCGTAGGCGGCGGCCGCAGCTGGGGGCGCCATGCCCCCGTAGCCCGAGGCGGTGGCGGCCGCCGCAGCGACGTTCATATAGCTCTGGGCGCTTACTCAAAGTGACACAGAACTCAGTGACAGCCTTTGGACTGAAATTCAGGCGTCTAACTTGACTCCATATTTTTTTTTTGGAGGCAGGGTCTCCCTATGTTGCCCAGGCTGGAGTGCAGTGGCTATTCTTAGGTGCAATTATGGTGCATTGCAGCCTGGAACTCCTAGACTCAAGCAGTCCTCCCACCTCTGCCTCCTGAGTAGCTGGGACTACAGTCCCACACCACTGCACCGGGCTTTGATTATGATATACTGTAACTTTGTTACATAATAAGATGATATAAATAGCTAGGATAATATTAACAAGCTAAAAATAAAAGCTCATTAATATGCCAGGAGCCATTTAAAGCACTTTATTTATTTATTTTTCGTTTTCGTGAGACGAGTCTAGTTCTGTCACCTAGGCTGGAGTGCAATGCCACAATCTCAGCTCACTGCAACCTCCACCACCCAGGGATTAAGCAGTTCTCTTGCCTCAGCCTCTGAGTAGCTGGGATTACAGGTCCCCGCCACACCTGGCTAATTTTTGTATATTTAGCAGAGACGGGTTTCACTACTTGGTCAGACTGGTCTCTAACTCCTGACCTCGGGTGCTCTGCCCACTTTGCCTCCCAAAGTGTTGGGATTACAGGCATGAGCCAGCGCACCTGGCCTAAAGCACTTTATAAACTAGTACCTATTCTTCACAGCAACTCTAAGAAGCAGTCATTTTTTTTTTTTTTGAGATGAAGTCTCACTCTGTCGCCTAGGCTGCAGTGCAGTGGTGTGATCTTGGCTCACCGCAACTTCTGCCTCCCAGGCTCAAGCGATTCTCCTGCCTCAGCCTCCCAAGTAGCAGGGATTACAGGCATGTGCCACTATGCCCGGCTAATTTTTTTATTTTTAGTAGAGATGGGTTTCACCATGTTAGCTAGGCTGGTCTCGAACTCCTGACCTCAAGTGATGCGCCTGCCTCGACCTCCCAAAGTGCTAGGATTACAGGCATGAGCCACTGCGCCCAGCTGCAGGAATTATTT